CAACTTCTAATATATGCATATTTTTTCGTCCACCCACTTTAAATTAAGGAACTAAAAATATGTATATTTAAACAAATTTAACGAAATAATTAATAAAAAAATTAAAAAAATATGAAGAATGGGCTTTAAAAAGTACATAAAAAAGTTAAATGATGAAAATTATGTAAAATATTAAAGTTAAAAATAAAAAAAAAATTTTTTTTTTTTAAATTTGAATTGAGTTATACGAAATAATTTTTTGTGTACCAGCAACCTTGTGTAATCTAAAATTGCAATTACGGGTAATTAAGATTAAGAAGCCTCTTGCCCAAAATGATGTCATTTTGGGTTAGGGAATCCCTTTTTTTTTCCTTTAATTTGTTATAGTGTGTACTGATTAAAATTTCGGTATATCGATCAATACACCAAAATTTCGATTAATACTTTAAATTTTGACCGAATGAATTAGATTTTGACCAAAATGAATTTTCACGTTATACCATTTTGACTCATATAAAAAAATCAATACGTACCGATCCTATCAAGAAATACGGTATGAAATTGATAACCCTGATCTTGATCACAATTGGCATGCCGATAAAAAGAGATGTCCAAGGATGTAGTTTTCCCCATAATGTAAAAATTCGACCCAAAGGATATTAATTTTAATATTAATATCGAATGAATAAATTTAATTGAATAGTTAATAAATTAAAAATATAATTTTTAATTTTTTAATATAAATTTATTATAAAAAATATATTTATCACATTTATAATCTATGTCTTTAGAGTATATTAGTTCTTATTTTTATTAAAAAAATTAGAGTTTAATCTCAAAAAATCATCCTTCAATAAATATGCACTACAAAAAAAATGGTTTTTAGTGGTAGAAATTTGTGATGAATTTTAAAATCATCACTATAGTTTATTACAATTGTGACAGATCTAAAAAATTAGTCACAGATACATACATATTTAATGATGAAAAAAATTCATCATAAAAAATATATTTCGTCACCGAAAAATATTCATAGAGATAAAATAGGCTTTTATCGATAAAAATTATTACTATAATTCATTACAATTATGAAAAAATTTTAATATTGGTCACATATACATTACACATTTAATGATGACCAAATAATTTATCACTAAAAATATATTTCGTCATTAAAAATTGTCAATTTTCTCTAATCAATACATCCTACATCGATAAAAAACACATAAGAGAATAAGGTTTTATACTCTAAATATATCCCACATCGATGAGAAATATTTAAAAAAATAAATTTTTACACTATAAAACATGTGAAGTTCAATAAAACTTGAGATTAGTTTAGGTTTGATTAATTTTAAAATATCAAGCTTGATTAATTTTAATCAAAATTGATTAGTGTTGAAATAATAATATTTTTTATTAAAATTTTGTGATAAATTTATATATTA